AGTCTGTCGCTGGTTGCGTGAAGACTAGCTTTCGTCGGTCTTGTGCCTTCGTGCCGACCGCCGCTCTGTCCCGTCGAGTTTTCTGATACGTTTATCCCTCTTACCCTCTCTTCTCCCCTTTCGGCTCCTCGCCGCTCGCCTACGGGGTCGTCGCCGAACGTCGACCCGAGTCCACGCGCCTAGTCGCCGCGACATCACCCTCCCATGCTCATTGTGCGAGCCTTGCCGCACAGCGCTCTACACCCCTGTTGCAGTGCCATGCTATCACGCAGACGGTCCTCCAGGAGGACCGCCCCCGTGGTGGGGGGGGCCTGTGGCTGTGCCAGCGCCACCCACCCTATCCCTGTCTGCCGCGGGCCTCCCGGAGTGCCCTGTATAGTACTGGTGTAGTTGTTGTCTTATAGTCTACTTGTACTATAGTAACTACAAGTGCTACTACATATATTGCTATATTGCTAGTGGGTGTATGCAGGGTGATGGCGTCTATGACAGTGGATTAAACCCTAGGGTAGGGTTTAGCCGACCCTAGGGTCCACCCACCAAAATCCCAGAAAACTCTTGCATAACCACAGCCGCATGCTACGTTCCCGTGATCGCCATGCCCTTGCCTTTTCTTTCTCGCCCTTTGTTCTCTCTTGGTCATCTTCACTGCCTCGCTCTCGCGCCTTGTCCTTGGTTGCTAAGCAGCCTCTCTAGTATATAAGGACCCCCTTAGGCGCTCCCTAGTCCCCATCTCGACCTCTTGGTCATTGGGACTAGGTGAGTGACCATAGCGTTGTACTTCCCTTCGAGTGCTAATATATAACTTGGTCATTGGGACTAGTCTGTCGCTGGTTGCGTGAAGACTAGCTTTCGTCGGTCTTGTGCCTTCGTGCCGACCGCCGCTCTGCCCCATCGAGTTTTCTGATACGTTTATCCCTCTTACCCTCTCTCCTCCCCTTTCGGCTCCTCGCTGCTCGCCCACGAGGTCGTCGCCGAATGACGACCCGAGTCTACACGCCTAGTCGCCGCGACACTGACATAGAGCCATACGAATAGTTCATCCAGCGTATGATTTGCAAGAGGTTTGGTCGATCGGTCCCCAGATCGAGTCCCCAGAAAGGTCGGTTTTCGCCCATACAAACTGACTTGAAGCATAGATTGAAGACCTGGGTCGGAAACATTGCTGAGACCAGCCCCCATGGTATGTCTGTCCCCGTTAAGATGCGCAACTGCGAGAGCTCACCGTAGTCGCGGCGGAATGTCTCGGACCATTGTGCAATGACGTGCGCCTTGTCGACAACCAGCGCAACAAGAAGACGTCGGAAGTCTTCATGCCGGAAGAGCTGCTTGAAGCAATCGTTGCGCAACAGGCATTCTGGTGAAGCATAGCACAGGCGAGTTCTTCCCTTCGAAAGCAACTTGAAAACCTTTGGCTCATTATTGTCCTCGTTTATAGCAACAGCCCGGATGCGCAATCGCTCGAAGCGACATCGTTCTGCTTCGGCCTCCCCTTTCCTCCCCTCTACTATCTCCCCTCCCTCCAGCACTGTCCCGGTCGTCTTGCTCTGCGACTTATGAAAGTCATTGAAGCGACGGACCTGCAGGGTTTGTTAAGTAAACAGCACACTTACATATAGGCAGTCAACAGACCTGATCAAGCTGCAGCGCTTTAAGAGGACATATGACAATGACTAACCCCTTTCCCCTTGACAGTGTGATAGCAATAGCCATCAGTGCAAAAACCATGGACTTCCCCGCACCCGTTCCTACCACCAACATAACGTCCCGGCCCTCCAGCAACTTCACGGCAGCCGAGATCTGCCAGGCTCGCGGTGAGTAGCCAAAGATCAGACGTGCCGCCTCGCAAAGGTCTTCTTGGCTGACATGGGTCTGTAGGCGCGGCCATTGGAGAGGCGATGGTTTGGTATCATTTGAGCGAGCTACAGGAGGGGTCGCGTCGACTAGAGAGTGGTGCACAGAAGGGGTATGATGGTCAAGCGGAGAAGGAGATGGTGGCGTAGATGGACGGGGTGAATTGTGAGGAGTCTTGCGCCGCCGCGGCGTTGTCAATAGGACGTTCAGCGGTGCACCGGACTGCTTGAACATGCACGATCGAGACTAGGCGTACCGTAGACAGCAGCCCGACCAGCGGACCTGAGCACCCGTTCCGCTCGCAATCCGTTTATCCGCATAATGCATCGCGTTTGTTACAGGGCATAAACACTCGCATTTACTCTAGTTCTTATCCAGTTACAAATTTATTCTAATGATCGATCGTCCTCCAGACCCTTTGATCAAGTCGGACTTTGATACAAACCCCTCTCGCGTTCCCGTGCGAGGGGTTTGCGCCGAACCTAGCCCATTGTGTCCGGGCCTGTGACCATGATGTGGCCTGTTTAGGCAGGTCGGGTAGGGTAGACGCCGGAGAGAAAAAATCCCGCGCGTTCACGGACTTATGCAAGGCGCTGTAGCGCGACAAAGCGCTTTGTTCGACCTAATCGGGTATGTCAGGCGCCGGCCCTTACACATGCGGCTCTGTAGAAATTCGTTTTTACTGATGTGCTGTTCACACAGCCGTCCTTGCTTTACCCCTACCTTCTCAGATCTAGATATCCGGCCACAACACATATGTGCCCCTTCCCATCGACTCTATCCCGTCAAGTTCAGAACAGAATTCAGCGTCATGAAGGTTCCACGCTCGCAAACGTGGCGCGAGCGGACGCCGTCTTCTACGACACAGAATAGCTCTAACAATGGAATGGGCGACGCTACGATACATAAGACTTGAGGATGGATTACAGTAGCGATAGTATGCTACGGTGAATGACATTGCTCTTTGAACTGATCCAGCATCGCAACGTCGTGTGCCTTGTCCATGATCCCATGTCGCTGGATACTGCTTGTCGCCCAGTCCGGAAGAGCATCGTCCAGGGAAGCAGGATATCTACCGCGATCGTGCGTTCCGACCCAGTCAAAGTCGACAAGCATGCCCCGATGTCCGTCGTCGGGACCAGATCCACCAGGGACGACCATGATGTTCGGGGTACGGAGGTCACCAAAGACGAGGTCGTGCGAGTGGAGCAGCGCGATGGCACGCTTGATATCCTGGTAGATGCGGTACGGAAGGAGCTCCTGCCGGTTCGCGGCTTCCCATGCCATCTCGCCGTGAACCCGGTCCATTACGACCATAAACAGGTCGCCACATACCGGGACGCAGGCGTGCAGCGCTGGCGCGAGGTGCTCGGCTGCAAGTATCCTGTGCGCTTCCTGGTGATATCGCTCGGTGAACTTCACCACTACTTCGACGTTGTCGGTAGGTGCGTCGCGAGATGATGAGGACACCGTCGTTTCTTCATCAACATTCGAGGACCTCCAAGGCATGGTGGCGAGGTAGATACCCGAACGTCGTTCACCTTCGGAAGCGGCCAATAAAACTGCCTCGCCTGATGGTGTCAGCCGGTGCGTAAAAGTGAGCGACGGAACAAAACCCGTGTAGGAAGGGATCTTCAAGGGCGAAGGGAACAGATGAGCGATGCTGGTTTGAGGAGGTGCCCGAGGGGCGGCCTTGAGTTGTGCGTAGAACGCCGTGAGGTCAGCGATGGCCTTCCGAGTGGCCGTGAGTGCTCGGGAAAGACGGAGGACGTTCTTCGCAGAATAGAATCCCAAGTGCAGCCGCTCAGAATACAACAAATCACAATACATTCCGTCAGTGTATATTGCAACGCTGATCTCAAGCAGGTTGCCCATGAATCCACAAAGGATGGCAGGGTAATTCGTTTGTCTCCGCAAGGCCTACACTTCACGACAATACAGACAGATGACCATGACAAGTAAGCCAGGCGCACCTTGAACTGGGGTGCAGTTACGATATGCGTGTACGACAACCCTGCTTGCAGGGAGGCGTCACCTTCTAGACCGGCCTCATTCTTGACGTCCACCACAACGAAAGGGGGGTTGTCTGCATTGATAGCATCTGGGACAATGCCATAGGTCCCCCGGGGGGGTTTCCAATGCAACGCTTTTGAGAATATCTCGCCGAGCAAAGTCTTGATGGCCTCGACCCGATCATCCTCCGATGAATAGCAGCGGGCGGCGGTTGTCATGAGTTCGTGCACCATTCGCATGAGAATCGGAGGAGGAGCGGACTCAGAAATATCATCGTCCAGGTGGCGCAAACGATAGTCAAGGCGGCCCAAAGCGTGATTGAAGAGGCAGGCAGGAGGGCCATAATTTCCTGCGGGTCGCCCAGCATGAAACCTGTCGGCATTGTCGACGACAACCTTCCGCACGCCTGCAGAAGTCGAGACACCATATGAAGGTCGGGGGACGGCCGTCCGAATCACTTCAACACGCTGTTCACGCTCTGAGAGCCCGCTTGAACACCATGAGCAGAGATAGACACAGAAGCCTGACGTACCTCTGAGTGCTCTTTCCTCGACGGTTCCCAGCTCATCCAGACTCTCCAGGACTACAGCAGACGTGAGGCGCACGGCGGGGATGCTGAAACAATAGACTAACCTTCGTTCGTAACAATAATGAAATGCACCTCGTCGGGAGATGGCCCGTCTGGGAAGATTGTGCTGACCCGCTTGCCAAGCGTGATCTGCTTATCCTTGTCCTCGCGGTGCTGCAGAAGCCATTGCCGACTACGAGAGAGCAGTGTTGTTTCAGGCTCGTAAGATAGCTTAAAAGGCTGAAGTAGATGTGAGCAACCGCCTGGAGTGAAAGAAAAGGATAGACGTACGATGTAGAACTTGCATCCCGCTCTGTGGTCGACGAGACTGGGTTCGAATGCTTGGACCCGGTCCCACAAAGACCCGAGGCGGACTGTGTCTGCAGCGGTGACGGGAAAGGTGTTGAAAGCTTGACGATGGGGATAGACGAATATGTACTCGACTTCAGGCATGGTCGTGGTGTGGGATCAAGCAGGCGTCTATTTTCCCGGCTCCTACTGCCATACCCGTATCCCCGAAGCTGGAGCGTGACACAGTACTGTCGCCCTCCTCTCCAGGAATGACAATGTCCGGGTATCAGCCCGAATTTCTGTCTGCCATAGTCATCTTACCCAAAATCCAACCGCCAGCCGTCGTCCACCCCGCTTACGACGTTGAGACGGACGTCTCGCTGCTCTCTCACCCCGCCTCATCATCTGCGGTCTCGCTTGCAGTCTCGTCATGGATGCTTGTCGCATCATCACCGACTTCGCTACCAAAAGACAAGAAAATTATCTTGCGTTTGATCCCGAAGGCACAAGTCCTGTCTCGACTGGCGATTTGTTCTTGTCCCCGGGCAGATAAGTACTTCTATCACCTCGCCCCTTAGTGCGTCGCCAAGTGACCGATCGTCCTGGGCTTCTCCGCGTTCAAGTTTCCGAAGGTGATTCCCCCTCATCGGATTCGAGCCAAGACCACCGAAGAGGACGAAGATATGCAAGTCACTTGCGAGGTTGTTCCATCGTCGAAGATCTCTTGGCGGGTCAAGACGGATGATGAATCTTGCGTAGTCACTGGATCTCGCAGTGCTGATGGTGCGTCGCGCTGTCATTGCTTGGTAGTCAACTCATGATGTAGTCGTAGTCTGTGAAAACACCCACCTAGTGCCTTAGAACGAATTATCATGGTTCCTAGTGAACGAAATGGGCCGATTCAATCGGAAGTGCTCTGGGAACTACCGTGAATGACGTCGCAAACGTTCTTACCCTGCGCTGCGATGTGCGCCGTCTGCTTGACAGTCAATTCTTCGTCTTTCACCCTGTGGGCTATGCAAGGACATGACGTACCTCGTACGCGGGACATCGGAGGACTGTGCAGAGCTGCTGCGTGGAAGAGAGGTGACAAGGATCTCCCTGCGTGCATCTGACCAGTTCGTCTGCGCCCGCTTCGCAACGGAGTTGGAAGAGGAGATACGGCTGTCCAAGAAGAGTCCGCTCACGACGGCTAGCAAGCTCAATCTCTCTATGGATCGCGGTGGTATATATGAAGCTGACATCTCGTTCCCTCTCAAGCCACATGTGAGGCATCTGGAGGCAGTGACGGCGACGACTTGTGGTGATTATTTGCCGAAATATGCGATCCGTCAATGCGCTGATCACCGCTCCTGCTCCAGCGCATACAAGAGTATCTTCCGGCTTTAACCCGGAATCCGTTGAAGACATCGCAGCTGGTGACGACCGGTACAAGGCGAAGTATGCTCATTGGTTCCCGAAGCCAGGTAAGTTGATATCTCTGCGGTGCCTCCTACTGTTCACCACTGATGCTCCCATCTTTTCCCAGCGGAGCTCCCTGAGGTCGAGGACACGCCCGACTCGCTGAAGACACCGTACCCCTTGGAGACCCCTAAGACGATGCTGCGGCTAAGGTCGCAGTGGATGAAGGATCACTCTGAAGTCTGGCAGACGGCGGTAACCTCTCCCGGAAGGACGCGATCGGATGTAGTAGGCCTGGTTACGAAGTCGTTCACGATGTAGCCTACACTGCTCTTGGACCGCGCTCAGCGCCGTGCTATCATACACGAGACGATTGCAGTGGGTCAGATGTAACTCCGTGATGTTGGACACGAATCCGACTTGGGGTTATTGCCCAACAGTGTTTACGTGCTTGTATACTGTCCAAAGAAAGTCTGTCAGGTAGGATACTAACGCGGCGGTGGCTGAGCGTAGGACGCGTGCGTGACGACGCGTGTGTGACCTGGTGTGACAGTGGTGTGAGGCACGCGTCTTTGAGTTGGAACTCCGCCAGCGCCGCCTTGGCCCGACGCGTTCTCGCGCCGCCCTCTTCCTCCTCCTCCTCCTCCTCCCCCATCCTCATCCCCCGCCGCCGTCAGCAGCGTCACCACTCGCGCACTTGCTTCTAGCTTTACATGATCATGTCCGTCCAACAAATTGACATTCTGTGAGCACTGACTCTTTCCTCGAGGCTCATACATCGCTGACCCCTGCCCGTAGCTGCTGGAGTCCGGGCCTGTATCGGATG